TTGTTTAGCAAAACAAAAGGTTTCTTTTGTTTTTCGCTCAACAGAAGATCTCCTAAAGATACTCCAAAACTGAGTTTTTTGCATAAGTTATTTCTCGAAAACGAAGCACAAATCAACAAAAACAATATTATTATGCAACAATGCTTTTCATGTCAAAACAAGTCAGTCTGCCAAAAATTAGCTCGATCCTGCAAAAAATAAAAATCAGCCCAAAATGCTATATATGCCTTTTTGCACGAAAACCTTCAATTTTAAAAAATGGAAACTTCAATCACCACAATCAGTTCACACGATATTAACATTGGAAAGATGAATATGTTAACTGGTTTGAGTTGCCGTCTAAATGGAGTAAAATTGTGTAAAGGATTATACAGGCTGGGATTTCAAAATGTGGCCATTGGCCATGTTGACTTGTTGGCTGCATTAACAGGGTTTTCTTATCAGAAAAAGTATGGGTGTTTCGCCAGGACAAGAAAAAGAGGCCGTAATAATGAGGTGACAGTATTAATGAGGTGACCATAGGGCGGGGTTCCACTGTGCATAATTTATGATGTACAAAAGGGTCTTCAAATCAGGAAACCAGAAAGGAGCTCAGTCACGGTTTGCTCATATTGAAAAGTTTAGCCTCAATTTTTCAAATTCATCGTTTGTAATCCGTGTCAAATTATCTTCTCCATCCTTAGCCATCCTTGTTCTTTTATGGTTTATCATTATTTCTTTGGTGTTTCTCTATCTTATGAAACTGTTAGTTTCAGGTTTCCTATCATTTAAAGGTAATTTTGTATGTGGCCAAAATAACTCAAAATACCGTGACTGAACTCCTTTAAAATAATTATTGGTTGTCTAATAAATTTCCAGATCTCAGACTGTGGTTCAATAATCCACCTCGTACTGTAACTATAATGTTCAAAAGGGTATTGAAGTCAAGAAACCTTAAAATAATATATATTATTACTGTTATTATTAGTTTTCAAAAGGTATATGTAGGAGACATTACATTTAATAATCAACCTCACACTATCATTTATTAATAACTAAAACAACAAGAATGTCATCATATTTATCATCATTGTCAACAACAATAGATTCAGAAATATTTAGTTTCCTCAAAGTGATCTCAGACATACAGATAACAGGGGAATCTCAGTCTTAAACAATATAGCTTGAACAG